TGAATTACATTGTAAAATAAAAAACAAAGTGTTAAGTTTATTATTCTCGAAGTACATTGTAAATAAATAACATTCTCATTCTAATCTTAAAGGTATCAGGGGCAGACTCTGGAACTCCGGAAAGACAGAATATGATTGGAAGTCACATGATCTGTCATTTTTTTTCTGTTTCACTTTGTTACTATATATAGGACCTATTTCGGGTGTGTTACAAGCATTTCGATTTAATTTCCAGTGGTATAGGATGTATGTCATCCACCATTTGAGATTGACCGGTCCGAGATAGACAAATCTGAGATGTATAAATCCGAGGCATATATATTTGGTTAATTATACTACTTTTACGTGAAAAAAGTAAATAAACGTCCATAAATTTATACCGTTAAAATATGGTTAAAATAATGTTGAAGTGTGGTTGGAAAAACAATAAATTATATAATAGATCTTAATATAATCACGGATATAAGGTTAAAGTATGGTTAAAGTACTGCCGAAGTACTGTTAAAATACTTAAAACACATTTATAAAAGCAACAAATCTCACCTTCTCGCAGTCTATTCAATTTATATTCATGCCACGTAGTGGCGCCTTTCAGCTTGTCAGGATAAATATTATAAAAATGGTTGAATGGACCGATACTCAAATACGTATCCTCATCGATGAGCGTAGAAATAGAAATGAAGAATATCATAATTTTGGAAGAAATCAAATCAGATTTTGGAATAGCATCGCAACCAAAATTAATCAAGAACATAATACGAGCTTTAATGGATACCAATATAAAGAAAAGTTTATGAATCTTGTTCGGGATTACAATGTAAGTATAATATATTAAGGCTCGAAGATCTATCACTTCGCAATAGATTTTTTGCTTACATCTTAGCTATTATGACTAATAATTTATGTCAATTAGTTGATGTACGATTATATGGTAGGGAATCGAAGAGCACGAAGAAGTCGAACAGGTGCACGATATTTTGATGAATTCTGTACACATTTTTGGAAGAGATCTGAAGACGATTTTGATAGAATCCACAATATTAATAGTTCTAATCATAGACAACGTAGAATTGGGAGGAATAATACATCCATACTATCTACTGGGGAAGTTGAACATGAATTAGGCCAAACATTACCAGGTAATCAAAGAAGCTGAAGAACTTCCATTGATAGTCGAAGAAGTCAAAGAAGTTGTAGACGGTCAGCATCTCCATCTTCACCCCGTGATGTAATAAATACTAATACAAACAATCCTAGTGTGAAAAATCCTGAACAAAATATTGATCATGCTGGCTCTACTGAAACATCATCTCTTCAATCATCACCACCACCTTATAAGGCCACAGATGAAGCATGAAATAATTCTTCAGAAATGAATCAGAGCCAAGTTGTTTCTAACCGCGAAGTAGTTGTCTCTGGTAATATACCCTTGTCTCAAAACAACAGTGATGTTAGTATGTATGATGTGGAAGATAGTCAAACATTTCTCAATATGGAATCAATAAATGAATAGATTGGATAAATATTTTTTTATTTAATAAAAACAGTACAGTTATCGCTGTATACATGTATGTGGATAATATCACGTGACTTTATCGCTGAATTTTTGCCAAGAAAAAATAAAAATTTGCGGGACATATTTTTTCGGAAAAATGCTGATATATCTAGATAAATTGATTGCGTAACACAGATGTGTGCCATTACTTCGTAATACACATCACATGAATATCAAAAAAGAAAATCGAAGGTCATGGAACTTCTGCATACATGATGTAATTGTGTGAGCTTCTGACTAATACAAAAAACCAGATTTGAATATTTTCTTTTTTGCTGTGCATATTTACATAGCAAATGCCCATGGTTTGCATCGCTCCAGTTCCACATTCTCTAAATCTACCATTCCCATATCTAAATGAGACCAGAAATGAGCGGAGGGAACGTTTTAAAAGGGCAGTATATTCACGTTATATTTGTTTGTCGCTTTATAGTGATTCTGTTACTTGCGCTATCTCGACTTGCATTTTTACTAAGTTTTTTTACCACCATGTCTTCCGATTACTTGTGTGTAAAAATTGCCGAATATCTGTCCGGTTTAAAAACTGAGCATATCATGGCGGCCACGCTTATTTACCAAGGGTTGGAAGAGAACCCGTGGATTAGCAAGAATGAACTGAGGGGTATTGTGGATAGAGCAGTTAATTTGGTAAAAAGATCAACTACTATGGATTTTGAATGTAGTGGAAGACTTATTCAAATTATACCACAGGTTAGTTACGGAATTCTCGTGAAAAAATATATTGATACACAGAATGATGAATGATGCGGGTGAGGGTGTATTTCTAAGGAAACGAGTATGACAGTATAGACTTTCCTATTAGCCCGCCAACAGGAATTTTCCCTCGACGGCGTGGAGGATTTTTATATTGTGGACCATACCCATTTCTATGTTGATAATATAGCACCTTACAAAGTTCCATTCACGTAGCCAGGCCGTACCGGATATAGCTTTGTATTATTCTGACTGCCACGTGGTTAATGGTATACGAGCGCGCTTTGTTCAAAAATGGCTTCTAACTTATTTATATAACTGCATCTAGTTCGATATCGCATTTGATTCCATTCATAACTTGCTGGATGTTGGAATAATAAAAATGGTTTGTTTCGGGATAGGTAAAAAGTGTTTCGGGATAGGTAAAAAGAATAATTAATAATGGTATTTATTTATTAGAACAAGGAAAAGCCTCTCACTTCAGAGCAGATCAATTATAATATAAATAAATTGAGAGGAAAACTCGCAGTAAGTTACATATAAGGTTACAATTTCCATAATATATTACCACTACTGATAAGTTATTTCCAAGAACGGTACCTCAAAACTCTACCAAGAGTTAATTGTCATTTTGAATGATGCTTCTACTTCGAAACTGATCTGGCGAGACCCCCTAGCTAGTTAAGTTATTAGCGACGATTCGGAGATGGTTAAGCGATTACCAAATAAGCAGAGAAAACAATTTATGATATGTATAAACTTATGTTTTTTTGATGTGATAGTAATGGATCTATATGTTACCGCAAAAGCTAAATCCATCTCATTTAAGAAACCAGCCAAAGAAATGATGCCAGAAATAATACCTCCTACGATACAAGAAGAATGTAATAGATTTGTGTCGAATTTTCCAACAAGGAGTGTATCGAGATTACCACATGGGTTATCACATACTGGGGACTGGAAAGAAAGTGAAGAAAAACTTACCGAAGTTGCAATAAAAATTTTGGAGACATTAAAAATTATTTGGTGTAATCCAGCCTTCCATCCTGAGTTCGTTAAGACGTTAAATGAGGGTACCTATATAAATAATGTAGTTGTTCCATTAATTTACGCCACCTTATTTGATAATCCTTTTGGAGAATCAGCATTTATCACCACGTGAGTAATTATGATCTTCAATATTACAAAGATATCTTTATGTTAATATCGTTTTAACTATATTTTTTAGTTTTAAACGCCAAAGTAACGCAAGCGTGGATAGGAGAGGAGATGGGAAAATGGGGAGGCGACCCGACATTATGTTTGTAAGTAAGAAGGATGATAAATTTTATGAACTAATGTATGCGGAATGTTCTCAAATTGTTCATACTAAGCAAAAGGAAGACGATGATGAAGTGAAGTTATGGCGTGAAGCTAATGATGGGATGTTCTGGGCACATAAAAGTCGCAGATTGGAAAAGGGACAATTTGGCATTATAGGAATACAGGTATTAGGGCATGTGCTACGTTTGAATGTACTTATTAGAGATGATGTTGAGGTGCATCGGTATTATAAATTGCGAGAATCGGAGATCCCCATTCATTATTCTAACGATCCTTTTGTTTTAGCTAAGCTTATAAATACTTTACTAATTTTTCGAAATGTACTAATAGTAAACATGTCAATATTGCGCAGTTCTCGCTTACGAAGATCAAGTAGAAATTTAGGTAGTTCAACTGTATCGACTGATATAGAATAGATATGTATTTCATATTTACATCAATAAAAGATGACCCTGGAGGTCAATTTTTCAAACTATTATTTATCTGGCACATGATCGAGTAAACCCCATAGTCCCACCGGAAAATTAATTACGCTTGTAGAACATCCTGAAATAGATTTAACCTCAAAATAGATCGTGCAATGATATCCCAGAAATAGAAACAATTTTGATTGGTTGATCGTTGTAAATATGTAACTTACAGATTATCGATGATTACTTCCATTCCCATGTTTTTTTTCGTGAAAGTATACGCTATTCGTCTTGAGTAGGACATCGGCTCTAGGAAATTTATTCCTAACGGCTCGTCGAATTGCGTTGCTTTTGTCTTTTTTTCTCACCTATTAATAAAATACCGTGAACCTTTTTCTTACTTATTCCAATCACGAACTGCTACGATGGACACAACTAATTTGACCAATAAGCGAAAAGAAGAAGTAACATTAGAGAAAACACTACCCATGAAGAAGTTATCGCGACAGGCCCGAGCACGTAGAAATAAAAAACAGAGGTGTGAACAAGAACAAATTGAGATATCCCACGAATCGGATAATATAGTTTTCGACCCCAATCGAGTATATATCACCGTTTCTTTGTGCTAGACTATTTTTGTATTGATAAGACGCACTTGCCTTAGCTTTTATATGGGTTATGGAACATAACGGAGTCATTAGTCTCCCATGTTCTAGCGACGGTGATTTCATTTGTTCTGCAAAATATAATCTGGCACTTTGCAAGTCGCTTAGCGATGAGCTTTTTATTTAAGTTTAGTATTTTTTTATAATCAAGCACCGAACCCAGAAAGCCACCCGTGGTCTATGTACTCAAGATAAGGTCGATTATTTAGAAAAGGAATGGACGAGTGTGCTTCTTTTACCCTCAGATCGTAAATCGTCTAAAGAAATAAAAACTCGATCAGGGGTCTCAACTAAAAATTTATTAATTGAGACATTAATCCGTGAAGCGAGGTTGGTTAGCGATACCTTTCCGAAATCATTCTCACACCATGAAACAGAAATTCCTGCATATTTTTTGGGGTTACTTGAAACTGATGTTATTAATACGTCGAAGAACGATAATACTACCGTCTCTACTTGTGATGAAGATAAAGAACAATAGATTGCTTTTGGACAGTTTTTAGCGTTTAAGAAACCGATCAAAAGAAGAGAGGTACGACAACACCTTAAGAATCAGTGGGGAAAGCTCCAACACGCTCTTGATGTCCAAAATAATAAAGATTTGCAAGCTCTTTCCATGACTACCGTTGAATGTAATACCCGAAGAGAAAGGATCCAGTTAATCATATCGGCATGAGATAATTTTCGATCACTTGATGGGTTGGTGGGATTTCGTTTCATTATTGATCCAGAGTGTATTGCTGATATGGATGGCCGAACAATAGTGCATCTTGACCATCTCAATGATCCAACTGCCATGATACAAGCGACGAATGCTATCAATTCTTATTATTTCCACACGTTGAAATGTCCATCGCATAGAAGCGAAAGTTTTTGGAAAAATTTTATTGAGCATTTTGGTGCATTCACGTTAAATAATCTCTTTCCCTATACGAGTTCGAATAGTGCGAGTAGCCATAATATTGACCATCTAAAGTGTGTTAACGAATTGATACGTGGTCTCGAACCATTATCGAATTCTATTAATCATTTTGTTGAGAATTATTATGAAAGTTTGTATGAAAAGCTACGCAAATTGGAATGGGGTGCATTTGCTCCAAGATCCTTTGGCATATTCCTGATGATCGCGATCAATTTCAACACAAGAAGCGATTTTCACTGGGACGAACATGATGATCCGAATTCTTTGTGTTGCTTGGTTGCATTGGGTGATTTCGAAGGTGGTGAATTGTGTTTTCCGGAACTTGAAGTAATTATACCACTTAAATCCAATCACGTTGTTGCATTTTCATCACGTCTCCTGTTACATAGTAATCTTCTGATCACGAGAGGAATCCGTCACAGTGTCGTATATTTTGTCCATAGTATGTTCTTTCACCATCTGCGCGATTTTTCTTCGATATATGATAATTTAGAGGCAGGGATCAAAAGAGATGCTCATGGGTCAGTTGTTCCTATGATTTCTCGACAAGATCTTAACGACGCACGAGGTCTGAATAACCGAATCAAACTCTCGCAACCGAAAAAAAGTCAAACTGTGATACCAGAAAGATCTTGTGATAAGAGATGGGGAAACATAGGTAAGTAATTATTTAACATGGGTTAGTACGTTTGTGTTAATTTTTTCATTATATTACATACATTATTAATTATAATCACTACTTCTTTACAGATTTATCGCGTGCCAGACGTGGGTTGAAAGCAGAGGATGATGCAGAGCATCGAATCTTTGATTCTCCACTACCCGATGGGGTATAATTCGATACTTATATAGCGAAAATAATTATATAGATTTAGCGGTTTTAAAATGTAAATATACCAGATAATCACTGGTTAAATAAAGATTTTCGCATATACTGTAAACATATTAATCGTAATTATTTTTTCTTGGCAAAGCAAACGGCGTGACTTTTTTAACTTTTTGGTCACGCACTCATTATTTTTATTTATTCAAACTTTTGAACATATCTATATATTGTATAAAAATGGCAAACACACAATCCAAAGTCGATGAGTTGCAAACTCGAGACTCTGTCTCTTCATTAGAAGAACAGAATTCCAAACTTATAGCTGAGATTACTGAGCTTAGAAAGGAGAATGCGAAGCTGAAGCGGATTATCGAGGAGAATGAAAAGCGCAATGTTAAAGTCGAGGAATTAGAGCAAAAGAATATAGAGCTTGAAACTAGGCTCGCTATATTAGAACAGGGAAAAGAAGAAAAAAGTATTTCTATTGCAGAGCAGGCCGTATTGTGGAACAATGGCACTTGCATGCCTAGGCGATTCTCCGAATCATGCCTCTTCGAGCCTACAGAAGATGTTTCGCATTCTCCAGTAAATTTTAACGATTCTCTCAAACAGATAGTGTTACATTGTGGTGATACCCCGATATCTGATATAACTGATGACACTTTAAATTCTGATGACACATCTGATGTATCCAATAATGTTCCAAATTCTGACGAATATCAGTCTCGAATCTCCGATTCATCTTTGACTATACCACCTATATGTGTAAAGTCTAAATCATCGGAAGATAAAAGGATTGATAATTTTCTGAATGAAAAACGTAATGAACAGATTCGTAACGAAATAAGAGAAAGGAATCGGGAAAAGAAGTTATTACAGAATAATGAAGCTTCCGCTTCTCAAGCCCAAAACTCATATTCGGATAGCTCGCCAAAATCTCATAAATTACGCATCAAACAAATTTCAGAATCGCAATCTATTCCTAACACTCCTAATTTACCTGAAGAATCATCAGAACAAAATACAGACTTACAGAAAACAAAAATCCCTGAAATAGACGTACAGCCGTTGATAGAAGAATTAAGAATAGAACCTTTAGTGGAAGATACCGTTAAAGTTGTTAATGTTGATAAAATTTCTACAGATAAGCAATCACTCGCAATCGAATTGGTCCATCTATTTGAAAAAATAAGCTTGGCAGAAAATAATACTAAACGAGCCAAGGTGGAAGAAATTACGAGCTGGTACCAATATAGAAAGCATTTCGAAAAAAGACTTGATGATATCTTACCCGAAAACCAAAGAAATGATAAGAGAGCCTATGATTTAGCAAGTAGGCAGATTTATGATGAAATGCTACAGTATCTTTCAGGTATTTCTCGTGTAAGTTTGCGTAAAAGAACTCAAAGAACTAAACCTATATACAAATTATTTAGCGTAATTGGAGAAGATAAAATTAAGCGAATTAAAACTTATAGTGCAAATAAACTCTCGAAGTTAACTGACGTGCAAATCGATACAATTAAGAAGCATTTCATTGCTATACCGCGTGACCTAAAGTCACGCACTCATATGACCGAGGTAAGTACACCTATAGTATCTCATCCCAAAGAGACTTCATTGGAAATGGTATCAGCAAATAATATCTCTCGAGAAACTAAGATCCCATCCACACCTCAATTCACACAGATATCTTTTGAGGAAAAGACTTTATTTGTACCATGAGTAAATATTCAATCTACATCATCTAAACGACAATTCTCAATTTCTGTTCTACCTAAAGACCTGGAAGAAAGGCAACAACACGTTATTAAAATGGTATTAGAATGATTTCCTTATTTATCTTCGAAGTATAGCAGGCCTGAAGGGGCGATGGATCGAAGATCCGAGACTCTGTCTCCCCTAAAGGGTCATAAAAATTGCGATTATTTTGATTTTAATAGTTCAGTATCCTGCCCTATATGCAATAAAGACCATAAAAAAGAAAATATAAGAGATAATATAAAAGGTGAATGGGGTAGTGGTGATTATGTCAATACAAAAACTTATCGTCTCAAATGCTGGAAGGCCTATCAAAATTCAATCCAAATAGTAATGGTAAAAGCATAGAGCAATAAGCATGTAGGATAAATATGAGATCACGGGCTTTTTATTTGACATGTTCCATGAGACACGGAGTGTTATTTCTCTGAAATACTTCTATATCGATCCTATCCGTGATGTGATTGGTTGATAAATTTCCAACCGTTAACAGTTTTTAATTATTCTGATTGGATGGATCACTACTCTGGAGAATAGGCCCTATTACGAAGCTTATTTTTACGATTTTTTCAGATAGGAAAAAACAATCTTTTTCTTTTTAACATGAACATGATGAATTGGAGATTCGAGGCTCTGTCTCTTCTTTTGGAGTTTTATTGGGTCAAGATCATACCAGTCTGAATTTGTGGATTTTGAATTGGAGCTGAATGAATCAGTCTCTGTCTCAGATTTGTTGTAAAATATTCCATGACATTTCTTTCGTTGCTTATTATTACAAAATAATGATGATGCAGAGCATTGAGGAAGCTTAGCTTCAAGTCAAAAACTCATCTCCGATTCCTCTTCAAGTCTATCTTCGATAATTATAATCTCCTCTTGAGCTAGATCAGGCTTAGATTCTGTTGATTTAGGAACAAAGTCCCATAACTCAGAGAAACACCTAGGCACGCAAGTGCCATTATTCCACAATATGGTCTGTTTTGCAATAGATAAGTTATTTTTAGTAGAGCTGGCTTTGTTAAAATCTTTATCAATTAATGGGATACTCATACCATCTATCTTGATTTTAGCATGAGGATCATGGCTTTCTTTAGAAGATAATTTAAAGTTCATTTTAACTTCATGTACCCACAACCATCCTCAACCCAATACCAGATCGAATGTTGGATTCTTGCGAATTTTGAAGTATATTGCATCAGTATAATCTAAACTTTGCCATTTTCCTTTATAGTGAAACTGTAAATCTAAGCAATTTATCTCACCTATTACATCTTTATAGAGATATTCTGCAGGATCACAGCTAGGACATATTCCATGGTTCAATTTAAGTTTAATAAACAGTCTCTTGCTAATGATATTAAACTTTGATGACGTATTAATTAATACTTTTACTGGGATTTTTCCTTTGACAATAGTATCAATGAACATGTTAAGTATATTTAATAATGTATATTACCATGAAAAAATAACCTGGTAAATAATTAACCATTCTTCACTGTTAAATAAAATTATTTGTAACTCATATTGGAGGATTCTCTCTGAGATGATTAATAATTGCAGAAATAAGATCTGTTTCATCTAATATATAACTCAAATAGTAGTCTCTAAAGATCCTGGTTATAGCTATCCCATTTCGTCGATCAATAAAGATTGGAATAAGTAGAGGTAAATCAGAAATGGAGAATTTATTATCGGAATAATCTGGAATAAGTGGAGATAGATCAGAATCTGAGAATTCATCATCAGAATAAACTGGATGTTTAATTTTAATTTTTGAATTAAGTTTCTTTATCACTTCTTTGCTAATCCCTTTACATCCCTCCAAACTAAGATATTTCAAATTATTATAATTGTGGGCTATTTCCTCAAGAGCTTTATTACTAATCAAGTAATCATCAAGCTCAAGATGTTTAAGATTTTGGCATGAGTGAACAATTTTAGTGATATATTGATTAGTAAGACAATTACATGAATTAAGACTCAGATATTGTAGTTTTGGAGAAAATCTCGCAATTTCTATAATTGGTATATTAGTGAAACTCTTACTTTTGTCAAGAATAAGAGTACATATGTCTGGACATGAACATAAAATTATACTAATCAATGCATCAGAGATTTTTAAATCTTCTAATCTGAGATATAACATTATTGAACAATAGAGAGGTTTTGTCTTCCTACACATAACTTTTTTAAATTTCAATAATCGCCAATAAATAGTCTGAGGTTTCTTTTGACCATACAGACCTCTCTGATAATTTTCGTTGATAAACTCAATGTGATACCATAGAATAGGAGCATCGCAGTGATACCAAAACCAATTAACAAATAAAGCGGGATAGAAGGATTGATCAATTTCTAAAAAATATAAGATTTGTTCTAGTAATTCTGATAAATCAAATATATTCAGTTACACCATTCTCAAATAATGTATTATTATATATCTTTAATGAAAAAACTAATGCTTGGATAATTAATTTTTCTTTTTTACTTTGTGATATTGCACACTCTTATATATGTGTGTATCTTCTGATCCTGAACTAGACGAAGAAATACCCGATTCAGAAGTATCAGAGTTAGTATCTGATTCCGATTCTATAATAGAATACTTGACCTTATTTTTCTTGCTTTTATTTTGCTGTAAGCGGGAATTAGAAGAACCCGACTGATTATTGTATAGCAATGAAGCTTCGCTTCTATCAAATTCATATACAGGTACTACTATGGATTTTCCTTTTCTTTCGGCAAGATTTTTGATATGAAGAGTTATCCTTATCCAACCATCCTCTGCATCAGTTACAATTTCTGCTTTATATGTCTGGAGCTCTTCATCATCATATTTTTGACCAGTGAATCAATCAAACTCTAACATGATATGATTGGAAAATTCAGGATGATGTTTTACGATTAATACCTGGATTGGAATTGTAATAAATATATATTATTTGCTAAATCAACTACATTCTACATTTGAAGTAAAAGTAAGTGGAATCATGGTCCATCCAATCAGATATGTAGTTATCTCTCTGAAAAATCTACTATCTTTATCTTCAGAACTTATCCGTCTAGTGGTTTTCCCACTAATATGCTTGAGAATTTTATCGCTACATATAGTTGGTCCCAAAAATCCTGGTTCGAGACAGCAGTTGACTTCTTGATCTCTAAATTTAGCTTTGGCTATTTTCATGGTAAGATATATTATGTGATATATATTTGATTGAAAAAATAACTGAGTTCAGATAATTATTTTAGGTATATATACTATGTATTTTCTGAATATTCTTAATTACACAACTAGTTCCATCGAGCAATATAAGAGTTTTATTTGGGAAGTCCACTTTTATTGCATTTTCCTGGAACCATGGCTGAGCCAATATCAGTACAGAATCAAATTTGGATTTATTGGTAATGAAAACATTAGTAACTTTTACTTGTTTCTATTTAGGGCCCTGAGATAGCATTGAAATAGAGATTTTATGAATTACTCCTACTACATCAAGTTTGCCAATGGGTGTGTATACTTCTACATCAGAGATATCATTGATTTCTAAACCTAATTCATTTACCATATCCTCAGCTATAATATTACAATTGCTGGTGATACCTAATATAGTTTTAACTGGTACTTTGTTAATTTCGCAAGATAAAATTCTCATCGTGTTTTATTATAACAATATATTTAATTCTGTATTTTTTTTATTGTGTATTAATAAATAATTTAACATATATAATGGTCGAAGCTAATAACAGTATTGTGTCAGTTCATCAAAATTTATTGCAAAGCCATGACCCAAAGAATCTACAAGAGAATGATGATAAAATCACATCACTAATAGAACTAATGAAAAAAATATCTATATCAGTTAATGGTAGGGATACAGAAGCAGTTTATGATTCAGGCGGACAGTATTCAACTATTATATACAAAAAAGCAAAAGAGCTGGTCTTGGAAATAGATAAAATCTCACCTCGAATTAATGATATGATAGTGATAGATCTTGTCAGACAAGTACTATATAAAGAAATTCAAATATCTCTCCATGAATTACTGAAGATAATAAAATCCAAGGTTCGACAAGATATTATAAATTTGATAGAAAACCCAGATATTATTAAAAAATGCAAGATAACATGTGGGGGTAAAAGACGATATAAAGTTAATAAGACTTTTTTAAATGATTCTTTGTCTTCATCCTTAACTGGGTCTAGCTCTGAATCCAATTCCAAATCTGATAATGATGAAGCAATTATACATGTAATAAAAGCAAAGAAGTGTAGTTAGTCTTTATCATAGATCTGAAATAGTCTTGCTTGCTCTGGAGATTGGTTTTTTCTGTGATAATTCATCACAACATAATTCTGTACTGGAGAAGTATGATTGTCAGAGTTGTGACGTAGACATTCTCTAGCAATGGTATAAGTATGGGCCATATTCTTAGCCTCATGTACTACCACACCATAAACAGCACTCATTTTTCGTAAGTATTTGGGAATTAAATCATAATCTTTTAAGAATTTATTGAACTATTTAACTCCTGACTTACCTGAATCACCCATTTGTCCAGATGATATAACATGCTGAATCCAAGTGAGTAGTTCTTTGACTCATTCTTGATTCTTTTCCATAGATCTAAATTTTCTAGGAATATCTGGTTGACTCTAATTTTTTGCATATCCTGTTACTCCAGCATCTGTAATATGTAAAGTTATAAGTTCAGCAGGACGAATACAAAGTATCATCATGACATCAGCAAGAGTCCAATAATTGGGCAGAGTTTTTAAATCATACGCGTCTAACCTTTCTTTGACTGATTTTAATATAAATTCATCTGGATAATTGATACATTTAGTTTCAGCCTTTTTCCAATTGACACTTTGGATTTTGTTAGCATCTTCTGTAATATCTGGAAATTTTGTAACCTCAATTATCTCAAGTGATGCATTAAGATTTCTTAATTCTTTACGAAGATGAGTGAGACGTGATGAGCTAATATTAGCATTTTTTGCTAATAGGGCTAAGACATAAGCTTCAGCTCTTACATTTCTAATACTAAGTTTATCCTGTAAAATCTGTTGCGCCATATCTCTGATAGTTTCTTCCTCCATTTCTTTCGAGGGTTTGTTGAAAATCACAATATTTACGTTTTTATCTGAGGTAGTTACATTGTGACTACTTCTGTTTTTCTGGATCGAGAGGTGATGTAAGTCACTTTGCAAAGCAAATAAGGCATTCACTTGATCTTCACTAAAGCCATATCTATTCTATAAGATTCATTTAGTTATCTCTCTGATAATCTCCTCTTCCAAATCTTTTGGAAGTGAAGCTATAGCTATTTTGCAACTGTTCTTGATAATATTTATAATCTTGACCTTACTACTTCTCTAATTAGGTATTAATATACTTACCTGATCACTGCTAAATTTAAAACTATCTCGAAGACATTATTGATCTTGATTCCGTTTTCTATCATCGGTAAGGTTTTCAAGAAATTCTGAGGTATATTTACTGAGCTCAGATACACTCATCTCATTATTAAGATTGTATTTTTTAATGATTTTAGTTATAATAGCTGACATGATCTAATATTGAGTAGATTATGAACAATTCTTTAGGTTATTTACACTATAAAAAATATTTTTTCAAATCAAAATTAATTATCTGCTGATAGCTATATCCAAAAATTGAATGGGTCGTGGTTATTGTAATTCTATTGGAAAATGGACATGAACAAGACACGAGTTTAATCAAAAGTTTTAATCTATATATACCAGGTATATAATACACGTCAATGCTTTGGGTCAAATCTGTCGATTTGAAAGTTATCAATATATAGGATATAATGAAAAAAAAAATTATAGCTTTGGGGTAGGAGCCCAGACTATGATAACACTTTATAATATTTTATTTTTATTTTTTGTTATCTTCAATAACTACTTCACTAATATATTCCTCGAATGGTGATGGAGGAACCAAGAGTCCTTCTTCTTCCCAATACAAATATCTAACACATATCAATTTATTATATGTTGGTCTATTAATTGTAATCATGCGATTTGTTTTGGGATTATAGATTTTTGGCTTTCTCCAATGATTAGTCAATTTGGATAATTGCTCAGCAGTAATTATTTCTTTAGTATATTCTGGCTCTTTAGTGTATAATTTATATATTTTTGTGTAGTATATATGTATATGTGGTATATAGTGTCAATATATATTCGATTATATTATTATAATATAGTTTGGAAAAGTTTAAATTGATTTTTATATACTATACATGAAAATATGAGTAAAAAATATAGTAGTATTTATACAGAGTTTTATGAAATGAGAGATTATAAGTAATATTTCGAATACCATCTCTAACATATCATATATCATTGTAATCTGAAAAGATTTAAATTGGTTTTATATTAAATATATTCACATAAAAAATAAAACGGATTTTATATGTTATATATTAAAACACTCTGAATGGGAAATTCAACCTATCAATACATTAAAAGAGAGAGTTCAGGGCATTTAACCTGTCCATATGTTAAAAGAGATGATTTGATTTGTGGAAAAGGTTGTTAATGGGATATAGGATGTTTATTGCACTGGAAATTATATGATACGAATATAGCAAAATTTTCTTGTGGGATCTGTGGAAAACTAACAATTTCTGGGACGGGATATTGTCCTAAACACGCAAAGAGGGTTTATTTTCGAAATTAGTATGAGAAACAAAAGGCGCAGAGAATAGAAGTTGATGCATAATTATACTTACTTTTGCTGAAGGTAGCCACTATATAACTATAGATATCAATTTTAAGCATCATAAAAATGATTTTTATAATGGATTTTTTTATGCCATGGTATGAGCTTTGCTCTACAAGTATCAATTTTAAGCATCACAAAAACCCCCTTTGTAAGATATATTATAGTCATTATTAAATAGATATTAAACATATTCTAACGCAACTGTATGTTAGAACTGGGAGTGATCTCTAGTTCATCGGGTGAGAGTTTACTATACCTATAACGTGTATCCTTACCATTTTCATAGAATTGCCCTTTATCCATTTGGTATGGTGGTAATTTGGGAGCATCCTCATTGTCAAATGCTCTAACTAAATGGTAATGTGTATTTTTATTATTAGTAGTTTTAAACTTTATCCCATAGATTGCAGAAAGTGCTGAATTTAATAAACCAAGTTTTGCTTTATCTAATTTTAAGCCAGATTTTTTAGCACTACAAGATGCATCTGTATTATCAAAAATCCGAGCCATTTTTGGTACTAAATTTTGAAGGTATTGTATCGATTCTGGTAAGTTTAAGCATGTTTTAATATCATTAACTTTATATCTATTTTTATCATCGATATCTTTAACGGGTGTACAAATTTTTAATAAATCAAGGCAAATTCGATGTCTCTCAGCTTGGATAATGGTAGTTAACCTATTATTTCTATAATCTTCACGAGTAATAGCTTCAACTGCTGAATCATTGTTAGTTCTAGCATCTCGCAATTTCTGGAAAGCTCTAAACCATTTCATTTCATCATATTTACCATAATTCTTAATAAATTCTTTGGTCAGAGATTTGGGAGGCATCCCATAATACTCTGCAATATGATACCGGCTTAAAGCATGCATTTTTTTTAAAGTCTTCTTTGGTTTGTTTTCTAG